TCTTTCTTTTTTTTCCACGGGCTGCCTCATTCAGTTAGAATAATACGCTTTAGATTATCTCAAGGCACTCTGGATCCCAGTGCTGCACAATCCAATTTGACACAAGGGATGGAGGGGGGCTAAGGGGGGGGAGAGAAAATCCTGCAAGCAGACACCAGAATCTCAGTCTGAGTTTTCCAGAGTACAAAGAAGTTCCTAGGCTGCAGATTTGCCTGCCTGCTTGCACCGGAAGAAGGGTTTTCAGGACTTGGTGGAGCATCTGTGGTTACATCAATTGATTGCTGGTGCAAAAGCAATGCCAAAGCCCCACACGGTGCTTCTGAATGCAAGAAGTCCCCACTTCTTCCTGGGTTAGCTCCTGCACTAACTGTATTTTATCATTTGGATAACACTGGATATTAAGTGTCAAGCCCTCGATTTGGCTCCAGAGTATGTATTTAGGCACCTTAACAGGAACAGAGGAAAGCTGCTTTCCGTGGAAGAAGAATAGCAACCTGTTGCCGTGGGCAGACCCGGCTGATCTCCAGTGCTCTTTTCCCATAAGCACATTACTCTAAGCAGTGTTAGCTCTGTCCCTGCCAATGCACTGACCGTGCCTCCTTTCCCAGTTACATTCTTGCTGGTTTTGCAGCTGCCAGATTTCCCCAGCAGCATCGGGGTCTCCGTCTCCCAAACCAACCCAAGCGACCCCTCTGTGCTGCAGATCTGTGATCCCTAATCATCCCTAATCCCTTTCGCTGATTCCCCTGATTAGGTGTGGGAGCAGGAGCACAGCCTCGTTAGGAGGAGCTGCTTTCAAGTCATCAGTATGTCCTTTGATTAGCTGAGGTACGCGCCTTTGAGACCAAGGTGTCCTGAAATATTCTTGGACTGCGGCACAGGAGGACAGCGTGTGTCGGAATTGCAGTTGAGTCAGATTGGGCTGTTTGCCCTATTTTCTGGCATTCTGGCTGCTGCACAGATAATAGGACCCCTCCGGTGCAGAGGAAGTCTGGCACTGAGGCAGGATTCTTTCGAGCAATGCCCTGGTGGCCCTGGTGGGGATTAATCCAGGTAATTTGAGCAGGTGCACACAGGAGATCCTGGAAGCTAAGCAGAGATTTCCATGTTAAAGGTATCCTAACAGCGCCTCCTGAAATGCCACAAAGCCTGCAGCCTCAGCGTGCTGATGAGCTTCACGAAAAAAAAAAAAAAGAGAAGAATCCAAGAAATTGATAATATTGAGTTAGGGCAAAGTTAGCCAACAATTGTTTGCAGAAACATAATAAAAAACTTGAAGCTCTGCAGTTGCACCTGCACACACATCACTGTGTTGGCTTATCCAGAAACTCCTGAGCACCACAACAGGTCCCAGCCATAGTCAGAGGGAGCTGCTCGCCTGATTTACTCACGACTGCGTTCATGTAGCACAGTATCTCTGTTGCTCCTGCTTTCAGGCATGACTTGCTCTTCCAGCTGCAAGATCAGAAGTTCCATCTTATCGTGCAGACGTGTTCTTATCCTGTTTAAAATCCTTCTTTACTTCCTGTGTTTTCTCCAAGCTGGGAAAATTTCATGGGCTTTTCTTTCCCCTTCGTCCTTTTCCCTCTTATTCCTCCCCTATGAGTGTTACCGGTGCTGATTTGTCTTTTCCTCATGCAATAATTGGTCTGGTGCCACTGTGTGATTTTTAACTGTGCGCAGCACCAACAGACCTCCATCTGTCTCTCCTCCAGAGCTTCCCAGCCTGCCGTTAGAAATATCAGCCAAATCCTCCTCCAAAGAGAGGATCACCAGATTCCAACTGTTTGCAAAATAAGGGCCTCAGCCAGAAACGCTCTCCCACTGTTGCCAACGTGTGCAGGACTGAGTCCTGCATGCTATGGGGTTTGCTGTCCATCAGACACGAGCGCTGTGTGAGCATTTGGCGGACTGGTCCGTGTGCTCAAATCCTTCACTGCACGTGTTGTTTTGTTAGGCACTAACCTTCAATAACCACCGGGTGATAAAATAACAGGGAGGGATTTCTGGCTTGGGATTGTCCTTAGGTTGTTGGTTGTTTTTTTTTTTTTCTTCCCTTAAAACGCAGCTCTGATTTAAAACATGCTACGGGATGGACCAGCTCCAGTGTTGTTTTATAAGATATTTTAATTGCTCTGGCTCAGAGTGCACGCTCCTTTCCCAGCCTTTCCAGTAGAGACTGAGGCTGTTGTGCTACAGTAACTGCTGGGCTTGCTGACTGCCCACCCGTGTTACTGAGAGCAGGGTTTGGTGCATAGAATCATCAAATTTCCCACCGCTCCCTACACACACATCAGCTGTGCGTGTCCGAAGGCTGTGTGTGCGTGTAAGAAAATCATTACAAGAACTAGCAGCAAACTGGGTGATGATTAGACTGCACACGCTAAAACTCTCAAGTTTTCAAATATAATAAAATCATTTACAAATTTATTTAAACAAAACAATCAAGGTTATGATTATGATGCAGGTATGCTTTTAGCACTGCAGAAGCCATTCCTAATGGTCCACTGATTCCATCAATTCAGCACTGCATTAGACCTTTCAGATGCAGTGCTGTACTGAAGGCAATGGTCATCACACATGCTGGCATCTGCTGGTGGTACAGCAGCTCTTTAGGTGCTGCTGCAGACATCAAATTAATGATAAATCATAAATAAGTTTGAATAAAACTGTAGCCTTTGGTCAGACCCAAAGAGCAAGTCTCCCCTTCTTTTAAGTGGAATATTGGATCCTGTTATACGAAGGGATTTTTCAAGGTTATTTCAGAGAGTTTCACTTTTGAGCCTAGTACAACTTAGTTCTGCAGAGCTGTTTTTGATAAATACTCCTTCCAGTCTGCATTCAGAAGTACCCAGCACTGCCCAGAAGCAGCAAGGTGGGTGCCATGCCTGTGGGCGCAGCCCATGGTAACTGCAGCTGGAGAGTGTTCGCCTACGGATGATTAGAGGGAAACACCTGAAGCACTGAAGAAACATACAGGATGGTTTCATGATGTTTAGTCAGGCTTAAAAAACACAATATGTGCATTGTTTGAATTGCACTGCCAATTTGGTATCCATTCATTTTGCAAGTTTTAGGGACAATCAAGTTCATGATTTTCTAGGAGGGCGCGCCCACGCCACCATTCAGTAATACATTATGACAGGAGAGAAATATTTACAAACAAGCCGAAGCCTGCAGGAGAGCCATATTGACTTGAAAACAAATAATATCCCCAACCATTGCCAGGGGTGGCAGGGAACAAAGAGGAAAATGAAATGAGAGAGATCAGAGCATCCTGGCAGTGATGCGCTGACTGCCGACATGGGGCGGCGCGGAGAGCTGTGCTGGCAAGATTCGGATCAACCCTTTCTTTAAGTCTCATTTTCCAGAGCAAGATTTTCTTGTAAAGGAACAGCCATGATTTGTTTAAAGCCCTTTGGAGATAAAAGGCAGATGGCATTGATTAGCTAATTAGTAATATTTTCTGCTGCTTATCAGCTGTGCTGATATGTGTAAAGTTTGCAAAGGCTCGGGATGAGTCTTTCTTTCTTTTATTTGTTGAAGCAATCAGCTGTTTGAAAATCTGGGAGGGAGGGAGGGAAAGTTAAATAGAGACTCATAATCTTCTGCTCAACAGAAATATCAGAGCCTGTTTCTTTGCGTTTATGTTCAAGGCTCATTTCTTCATTTCTGAGGGGAACATATTCACCAAGGTTGCTCTCTTAGCTTTCGTGTTCCTTTTACAGCACGCTGTGTGACATGCCTCAGGTTTTGGGCTCTCTGTTTTCCTCCTTGTAGGTGCTATCCTTTTCCTTTCCATGTATGGTGAAGACAAACCACGATATTATTTTTTATTTTCTGACCTCCTGCCCCTCTGACCTCCTGCTGTACTGGACCCACCAAATACCTTCATGTTCTCTCTGTGATGGCAATAGTTCAGCACTTGTCGTGGAATCACACAATCATATTGTGGCTTGGGTTGGAAGGCTTAAAGGACATCTGGTTCCAGTGTTCTGCTGTGGGCAGGGATACCAAAGTCTTTGTGGAAGTGAGATGTGTTTTAATGGCTGCTGTGTAGCACAGGTGATGCACGAGCTGTCAGCTGGCCACCTGGGAATGAGAAAGAGCTTGGGAAAATTATGCTTTCCTCTTCTAGGGAACTGTCCTCCCTTGCAGATGTTCTACAGAACAGTTTTGCAGTCCATATTTCATGTTTAAGACTTCAGATGGAATATGGTGCAGATTTTGGTGGGGCCCTGACACTGCATTGGTCAACTGCCTGAGTTGCTCTCCGTCCAAAAGCCATCAGGGCTGGAAATTGCCTAAAATAAGGCAGATTTGCTCCTGTCACACAGAGCTTTCTGTTTGCCGTGGAGTTCAGTGTTCAATCTTTAGCCTTTCTCTTTCCATCAGGATGACATTTTTTATTGTTTCTTATGCTGAAGAAACAACAAATTCTGCATCTTCTCTGGAACACGGGCTTGTTAATGTTCTTTGAAACATGACATGTGTCGTGGCCGTCAAACTGCAATGATCCCATTTCTTCTGAAATGAGAAAAACATGTCACTTTTGGCTCCAAGAAACACAAAGGCAGAGTCATATTTTAGATAGGAGCTGCACGGCTCCCAGAGATGAAAGAAAAATGTTATTACTTTTGGAAATTTCATAATTACAGTTAATGATAATTTAATGAAATGGCATTGTCTTCGCTGCTATCACTAATGAAATGTTTGAGAGTGATAAAATAGATCTTGTTAAACAGAGCGAGAGCCTTGAGTGGAGGAGCTTGGTGACAGCAGCCTGCATGCACGAGTCTTGGAACCCTATTTTTTGTTACAGTAATTTAAAACAGAACTTGAAATGAAGGCTACATGACAAATAATGCACACACGAAGTATTTAAAGGCCTTCCATTAAGCAAACAATACCGAACCACTGAACAACTCGCTGATGTCTGAGTACTACTCCTTAGGAATGCTAAACCTTCATTAAAACACTTTCCTTGTTTTTCTTTGCAGGCAGACCAGAGAACAAGAAACCCCGCCTGATTTTTTTTATTTCTCAGACTATGAAAGACATAATGCAGAAATTGCAGCATTTCATTTGGACAGGCAAGTAAAATGGATTTGCATTGAAAGAAAAAGTGGAAATATTGCGATAAGTTCGTGCACTTGCCCAGCTCTGTGTCTGAATTGCTTTTAAAAAGGGGGAAAATGGAACAAAAGTGGGCAAAAGCCATGAATAAAAGAAACGGAAGGTGATGAAATGGTAGATTAATAATCAGGAAATTGGACTTGCTCCAGGAGTGAGAAACTGAGCAGTAAGTAATTCTCAAAAAGAAAGAGAAATGCTCTCAAAAGGAGGCTGAGAAATTAATTTTCTTTGTGATCTGCAAGTGCGTGTGGGGAGGAGCCATCTCCTGGGGAAGAGGTGGCATAAGCACAATGGGAATCTGGCTCACCCCAATCAGCTCCAGGATGGGCAAATCCAAGTGAGGCATGGGGAATCTCCTGAGTGTTCGAAGAGTAACTGCCATAGAAAAGCAGACCAGGCGTCACAGCCTGAAGCAAGGGCTGTCCCATGTCTGGAGGGTATCTGGGACAGGGGACACTGATGGTCATCTCACATTCCTGTTAGCTGAAAATGTCCTCCAAGCAGAAATAGTGCGGGCTGTGTTGGAAAAGGACAGAGGACGGTCTCAGCCAGCCCACGTTAGGAGCAAGAATTAATTATTAATGAATTACTAACGAAAGGGCTACAAAGCGTTTCATTGCACAGGCTGAGTTAGAACTGAGGCTTCCTTCACAGTCTGCAGTGCCAAGAAAGATCCTTGTGAAAGTTTGAAGCTTTGGGCCACAAACTGTTTAGGGGTGCATGGAGTATTGATGCCTTCTGGATTGATGGTCAGGATGAGGGAACACGTCTGTGGGTGGCACAGAGTAGATTGGCCATTAAGAGCCATCTTGCTCTCATCCTTAAAGGGGTCTTCTGTATTTTAATGTTGACCTTGGTGCTGATCCCCTCTGTTTTATATTTTATATTGCCGTTTTAAGCAGATGGTACTGTAGGAAAAGGCATTAATGGAGTTCCTGCGGGGAGTAATACTAAACATCCACATGCTAAGCAGAAAAAGCACTTGCTACTCAGTGCAGAAAATCTTATCAGTAGAGTGGACATAAAAATCCCACCTATGGGGAGGCTTTGTGTGGAGACTTTGCTCTTTTACTGTGTCTAATGGCACTGCTTCATAGGGAGTTTTTAATGATCTACTAAAGCTGGAGAGTTTGTGGTCGAGAAAGGCTCTTTCTCCACCCTTTGCCTGTGGGAAAGTGTTTTGCTGCAGGGAGGTTGTTTATATTGCTATGAGGGTACTGAAACAGGGAGGAGCAGAAGGAAATAAATGAAACCAATACTAAGCCCGTCAGGAAAACAAACAAACAAACAAAGAGAAAACTAGTTTTTAGGCTTATTAGATGGTGTTCATGGGAGACAGAGGCTGAAATCCCATTCCTCCAATCCCTAAAACATTGGTGAGCAAAACACATGTTGTGACAACCCTGAATTGGCACCAGGTGAACACCAAGTCCCTCCTGTCTCTTCTTTCTGCAATGTTATGTCACTGTTTTTTCTCATGGGACAGCATGTCTCCACACTGCTCTGCGTCTGCTCCGTACTGTGTAGGCGAGTCAGAGCTGGTAATATTCATGATGCATTTTGTAGGATATTATCAGAAGGATGATCCAATTTACAGCTGACGGGCTTTCTTAAAGGCCCCAGATTAACGTGCCTTCAGGGTGTACTGAACCTTCCTGAAACCTATCACTATCGTTGCAATCCTTTACATAAACTGCCTCTCCTTTTCTCCCAGGATCCTGGATTTCCGTCGTGTCCCACCGGTTGCAGGCAGACTGGTTAACATGACGAGGGAGATACGAGATGTGACTCGTGACAAGAAGCTGTGGAGAACATTTTTCATCTCACCAGGTAGCCTTGGAAACAGCACTGTGTTCTTTCTATCCTGATGAACACGTACTTAAGGGAACGATGTGTAGATTGCTTAATTGCTCAGATATTTCTAATAGAACTGTCTTCTAGACCTTTGAATAAATATAAATGTGGAGACACTGCATACAAAGAAGACTTTATTGTTTTGAATTGAGTGCCTTTCCCCTTGACAAATTATCCACAGAGACAAGCTTTTATTTTCACAAAAGCAATGTACTCAACAAATGTTTTACGCAGAGCAGTTTCTGAAGCAATTTCTTCTGTTTCTCTCAGTTTACCCAAAAGCTTATTACTCAGCCTATTAGTTATTTAGACCTTTTTTTCCTAGTGCTGTGTGAGCTGTCACTTTTGGTGGTCATATGCAATTGTTTCTTGTTTTTTACTGGAGGACCAAAACCTCCTTTTCTCAGAGTCACATACCTCAGTTTTTATTACAAGAGGAGCCTGAAACAAAATCAAGCAGATGTGTAATGTATCCTGCTTCCAGCTCACATTCACTGCTGCGCAGAGTCTAGAGTAAAACTGATCTGAATTGGTCCCAGCCCTCGAACCTGCTTTGAGGGCTGGCCCAGGAATCAGTATCACCCCTGTTTGCAATATTCTTCTCTCTTTCACAACATCTGATGGCCCTAGCCAAGGACAGAGCTCCACAGCATGGGAGCTGTACAAACACGGGGTAAATGTCCATCCTGTTCCCAGAATGTACAAAAATAGGGAAAGACAGTCAAAGGGATCCTCTGGGGTGTTGAAATGTTGAGGTTAAGGCTCTAAATTAAGGCACAAAAATACATGCTCAAATATGTTTGTGGAGAAAGAATATACAGGGAAATGCTAGATGTAAAACCTGTAGCTGTGTCCACAGTGCTTAGCCCATATTAGTTCAGCTGTGTGCAAATGTGCATTCCTGAACTTGTGTAACAGGAACTCTGCAGCAGGAATCTCCAGGGCTCTCTCCTTCATTCGGTGTGCCTGGCCAGCAGCTGCTTAGCCCGGATCCCTGAAAGCAACACCCAAAGCCTTCAGCACAGATTCTCCCATGGCAGCAGCGTGTTACTGCAGCTAGCTGGAAGCAGAGCCTGCTCTGCACAGCATTCTCAGTTAAAGTGTTTATCACACTATCGTGAGCACCAATAAAGTCATTATTGTGGCTGTTATTTTTAGCTTAATATTTATATTTGGCTCTGCAGGATATGGTTGAGCAGACTGTTATTTATTCCAGTAACTACCCTGGTGCAATACATTACACGATTATGAGATGTTTCACCTTCCCCTGTTACACGTGCCCCAGTTGTGCCCATATGACTGATGGTGTTCACAAACGTGGTCTGCAGGCACACTGCGTGGCCAACCAGGCACTTCTCTCACTCCTTTCCTTCTATCTCTCTCTGTTTACGTATGTATATATATGTGTATATATATATATATATATATTTTTTTTTTTATTATTATTTTTTTTGCATGATATGTTTTCAAGCAAATAATTACCCATGAAAGATGACCAAAAAATCTTGCAGCTGTTTGTGCGCAGAAGATGTTTTGGCTCATGTGAAATATGTTTTACTTGCATTTTAGCCAGTGAGACAAGGATTAGTAGGCTTGCTTGCTTTTTAGTCTTCCTGGGTTATACACTGAGGCTTAGGGGTGAACTTGAGTGCTTTCTGAGAATTCCAAAACCATGCTAGTCTATAGAGCAGCTGCAGCCCAGCAGTGCAGAGTGAAAGCTGCTGTTGGATGAAGATAAGGATCTTGTCACTGCAAAATTCCAGACAGCCAAAGGATGATCCAAGCATAATCCTTTATTCAAATTTATATGGAGGCTTTCGGTAAATTCAATTAAAATATTTGATGAACTATGAATCAGGCTTTCCTGGAGAATAAAACGTTTAAGCAATTGTTTTTTCTTTTCAATTTTGCGTTTTCAGAATCATTATACTATGTGCAAATCATGTTGGCTACTTGTCAGAGCTCTTCCTTCCAGAGCTCCAATTTAATTAGCAGGAGTCTCATTAACATACGCCCAGCCTCCATCTTGTATTTCATACTGACCTTAAAAGGCAGACATTAATTAATGCCTAATGAAAAAGTGATAAAAGTCCTAAATTAAGCAATTAGTTGTGTGGTGCTACATGGATACTTGCAAGAATCAGTCTGCACACAGCCACTGCACACCAAGGCCCCTCTGGGGTCTGCATCCCCCTCCCCAGCTGTGTCTGCTGACAGTGGCTGCTCATGGGGATGTATTGCTTCTGCCAGCAGTGTGTCCCTATCCACACAGCAAGCACTGAGTGTAGTTCATTATACACACAACTCTTCCCCTTGGGCTGGGAGACCATGACTCGCAGTGAAAACCCTTCAGGAAATCGTTATAAGCATCGTGACTGCTGACCAATACAAGATGTTTTTCCCCGGTCTGGCAGGAGGTATGTTAGGAAGGACCTTCCTGAATGTCCACACTTGTTCCAGCAGAAATGGAAATGGAGATCTTCCAGGCAGCTCGGGCAGGTGCTGCTGCACAGCATGTGGTGTCCGTCTGTCCTTCCCTGCGAGCAGGAAGGGCTGGGGTCAGGCATTCGGAGAGAAAGCAGGTTGCAGAAAAGTGCTCTTCCAGGCAGTTTGGACTGAACATGAGAAATTGAATTAGGTCAGTAATTATTTAAATTAATTTTACATCCTTTGCAGTAGGGCAGACTGCAGTAGCCCTGCTACTCTTACAAATGAATGGTAATTTGCTAGGAAAAAAGAGACATATTAATGATGTCAGCCTTCGTTTTGGAAGTAATTGAGGCAGCAGCTTAAAGAAATCAATGTTGCACAGCTAGTAAGCACTATGTTTTTCTTCTTATTAACCAATTCCAAGGGATTCTGTTGTTTTTTTTTTTTCCTCTCAGCAAACAATAGCTATTCTGAATTAGCTATTATTTTGAGCAGGTAAATGAAAGATCTTTTCATGCATTGCATCGGTAAATATTCAGGGCTCTTTCCAGTACTTGAATTGCACAGGCTTGCTAAATGTCCTCTATTAAGACTCATGCAAATCTCAGTAAAAGAATTGCTCTGCCAAGCAATTTGCTTTAAGGTGTCTCCACTTGTTCGTTTTCTTCCCAAGAAGAGTTATGGTTCAGCTATCAGGGTGATGCACAGAAAATGTGCAGATGAGTACACAGACACTCTGCTTCTTAATTGTCATCATTAGTTCAAGTTTTGATCACCGAATGTGGTGATTTTTGTTGGATTTCATTATGAATTGTGTCCATCCATCCTCGGATAATGGAAGTCAGACATCTGCAAGACCGCTCGATATTCACTTGCTTCTGTTGTGCTTTGAGGGAAACAGGCTTTTTGTTTGTTTGCTTTTAATGAAGAAGGGGTTTACATGTTACGCATTCAAAGTATTTGAGCATTTCTGTGTGTGTAAACATCCCTTTCTGCTCTGGCAGTGCTGCTGCTGCCATTCCTGCACGCAGCCCTGGTGGCTGCTCCTGCTGTGCTGCTCTTGGGGCTCTCATTGCCTTCCAAAGGCCATGCCCTGCTCTGTGTGGGACTCCTGTTGAAGCGCTGGGTTTGTGTCTCTGGCTGGAATTTCCCACTCAGCACGCCCCACAGAATGTGGGTCACCTACTTAGGCTTCCAAGAAGCTTGCTGCTGCACCTTGAAGCCCTAAATGAGAGCAGTGTCTATCTTTGGTACCTCTTGATTTCTACATTTTTAAGATGCTTTTAAAATGAGCGTATTTCCCCAGATAATTTAGACTGCTTCATCTCACTCCCTGTACTTAAGGACCAGGATAGACATTTCAGCATGTCTCTTCTGTATCCATCAAAAAAGTTAATTTTGTTAATAATCACTTGAGATCCAGCACTCTGTCACCTCCACTATGCCCAGAGATCAGATAGAAGTGACGCAGAGTGAGTGCAGTATGTCTGAGAGAACACCAGCTGTCAGAAAAGGCATTATGTCTTTACCTCATGCTTGCTGCCCTAATGACAGGCTGCATCCTGCCGCGGCCGCGCTCCTGTTGCAGCAATGGGGCTCTGTGGGAAAGTCAATAACTGGAGGGGCACGGCAGGAGCAGAGCAGCCCATGTGCCAGCTGTGTCACCCCTCAGCAGCAGCAGCGTGACAGTGGAGATAGCCCCCGAGCCTTCCTGAGATTTATCTGGGTTCCAATGTGTGATTACTGTCAGATGGTTAGTCCCGGTTGCTTCCATTGACAATACCAAGCAGGGTTTCATTGTTCCCCAAGTTAAATTCCGAAGCAAACTATTAAACACAGTATATATCTTCCCTGCTGTGCAAAATGCTGTGTTTATTATAATTCCTTTCTTTGAAAGGTCAGATTTGCATAATGTGCAGCAGAGGCTGCGATAGCGCAGGAGGGGCATCTCTGTGCGCCTTTTGCTCACTGCAGAACCCATGCAGCAACAGATAACTGAGTGCCAGCCTCCTGCTGCCAGCTGGGAAGTCAGGTCACCCAGCCCCTGGGAGATAAATTGTCTCTGGTGATCTAGATAAATAGGAGCGGGTTCCTTCCCTGCACAGAGCAGCAGGTGATGCTGACACAGCCGAACTAAACAGTCGCCCACCGCAGCTTCGATTCCATGCAGACACTGGCTCTTGCAGCTGGGGAGAGCCCTGCCTTCCCACCGTGTCAGCAGGCCCTGGGAAATCAGGCTCTCTTTGTACTTCCTTATTCCTCTGTGCTAGCCTGCAGCAGGCGCAGCATCTGTATGTGATTTCTTATAAACCATCCCTTGTGGCAGCCCGGAGCCCCTTGAAACACTTTGCTTGCAATCACTTCTTTTCAAGGTATAAACCACAGATGTTTTCCCCTGTTCTTTGCTGGCTGAACATATCCCAGCCTCCCTAACCACCCGCCCGCTCCTCCCATCCGCAGACTTGCTGCTGTGCGCCGTGTTGCCCGCAGGTGCTCCACAACTCTGCACTTTCATCCTAAGAGGTTTGCAAGGAGGCATGAAGCCCTCCTGGTTTTGCCAGGATGATCAAAGGCAGCTGAGGCACCTGCATTAGCCCAGGGATAAGTACATCAGGGCTGCGCTTCAAGAGCCCTTGCGGAAAGGGAACCCTTGAGCGATCACAGGCTGCAGGGCTGCGAGCCCTCAGCTTGCAACATATTGGATTTCTTCAGATGTTGACTTTGCACTTGAATTTAGGCTAAGAGAATGAGTGAGGGCCACTGAGATGGTTCTGGAGCGGCTGGTGTACGAGGAACGGTTCGGCTTTGCTTGGCACGGGGAGGAGAAGCAAGCCTGATCTTCATTTTCTCTTCTCCCAAGTACTTCTCTTTCAGTCATTTTCTGGACTGAATCGGGCTTTAACGTGAGAATGTGAACACACTGTTTGGGCAGGAGCTGTACCTGAGGACAGACCATTGGCAGCCCTCAGAGCCGTTCTCAACAGAGGGATTTGAAAAGTGTGCGCCCAGCATAAAGTAACCACACCTCAATGGACAAATCAATGACCATCAATAGAGGCTGCCAAGGAAACCCTGATTGAAACTGTCAAGTAGTAAATCATCAGCCATTTAGTCGGATTATTTGAGGTAATTCCAGGGTTAGCAGTCAGTCCTATGCAATACAGCTAATTAATGCAATCAAAGCCATAATGAGACCTTATTGCTGCTCCCACTCCTCCCCCAGCCGCAGCCCCACATCATTTCTCTGTTCTTCCTCTTATCCCTGTGCCGTGTGGCCCACACTGCTCCTTGCCCTCTTTGCTCCTTATCTCCCTCGTGTCGCACCAGCAGAGTCCCTAATCCTGCATGCCTTGCCAGCCCTAGGCTGGGTTTGCACACATCTGTGGGCTGGGAGGGACAGACTTCCATCCATTGATGGGCGTGCTGCGGTGGCAGTGTGGCAGCCTGCCTTTCTGAGCCACATGCAGCAGGCAGAAGCCAACCTCCATCAATACACCAGCCCCCCCCTGCCTCATTTACACCTGTTTATTCCTTCTGCAAAGAGAGTAGTTCTGAAGAAATATTTGAGTTTAGAAGGAATTAGGAAGCAAAGTGACTTCTGCGTTTGTGTGCTGCCATAAGAGAAGGGCACAATCTCCCTCTAATGACATCTTACGTGCATGCAGTAATTTTAGGAAGAGTTGTTGCACACCAACAAGCCCAGCATCATGCTCTCCTTCTTGGTCATGGTCCTGTGGGAAGGGAAGGGGCTCTTGTAAAAAGGTGGACGGTTCCTCTCATTGCAGAAAGTGTGGTGGCAACTTTGGGGAAGTCTTAAGGTAAAACACATTCCAAAATGTGCTGCATGTCCTTAGTCTAATGGTTGCTGGGGTAATGTGACTTGTGGAGGAGAACATTTCTGTTTGGGATGTGTGCTGAAAGATTTACATCTGTGCTGTTTTCACCTTCTCCACCTCCACATAAGTCTGCATGCTACGTAGCTCTCCTCAGTAAAACTGCCAGTTCTCAACCCAGCAAATAAATGGACAAAATGTTGTTTCATGTTCTTTAAAACATAAGATTAGATTTTAGAAGGTGGCTTAATTTTGGCCATGTGTCATTGCGCAGCTGCAGGACTTGGGGCTCCAGCCACACCAGTTAGCATAGGGCAACACATGTATGCAAGAGAACCTATCAGTCTGGGGCTAGAAGGAAGAAAAAAAAACATATATTTTGTGGTTTTGGAATATAAATAACATGGAAACAGTCACAGCTCAGCATAGGGCGTGATCCTAGCCACTGAAATAAATCAGTCTTTCTAGTGGTTTCAGTAGAAGAGAACTATGCGTGGTAACAGCGGGTTCTGGGTCAGAGCTTCACTTCTCCTGAAGTTTTTTTCACATACAGCAGTGTTTTTGTGAATTCTTGAAAACTAATTTAAGAGTAGGTTTTAAAACTGTTTTCCTTTATTTGTCAGCCAACAACATCTGCTTCTATGGCGAATGCTCCTACTACTGCTCAACTGAGCATGCCCTGTGTGGAAAACCAGATCAGATCGAAGGGTCTCTAGCTGCTTTCCTTCCTGACTTGTCCTTAGCTAAAAGGAAAACCTGGAGAAACCCTTGGAGGCGTTCCTACCACAAGCGCAAGAAAGCAGAGTGAGTAGTACTGAGCAAAGTGCACCTGCAGCAAATGCCAAGAGGAAGATTCAGCAGTGCTTTCTCTATCACACCTAATGTGCTGTGGTGTAGGAGAACATTTGCAGTTCTTCAGTAGCTCCAACTCCTAGGAGGGGAATACTTACAATTTCAAGGAGCTCTGGGCTACAGTCCTGAACCTGAAATGACCTTCAGTGTCATAGTCTCCTTGTGGGATAGATATGTGCAATGGCTTTTGACAGGATGCAATGGGACCTGTATTACTTCCTACCAGAAAGAGAAAGATTCACTGCTATCAGCAGCCTTAAACAAGTCCCAAATGTTTTCACCGTGTGACTGATGTTGCAGCTGGTCTCCTAAATCCTGAACCTGTTAACCACATAGTTTTCAGTCTTGTGATTTTCTTCCTTTTTCATCAGTCACAATCTTTATTGGTTGCTTGCAATACTGAGAGCAGCCTGAGGAATCTGCTGCCTCCTCATGCTCCTGCCCTCAGTTGAATACAAGTAAATCCTTGCAAAACGACAGTTTGTTTTTTAATGCTCAGTAAGCTTTGCATGTCACATAAAATATTGAAATATTGGCTTTTCCAGATGGGAAGTTGATCCAGATTATTGTGAAGAGGTTAAACAAACACCCCCGTATGACAGTGGGACCAGAATTCTGGATATAATGGATATGACAGTTTTTGATTTTCTAATGGGTATGTTTCATCTCTTTCAAAAATTAAATGCAACATTTAATTAGAATAAGAACCACTTCTTTCTACACCGCTCTGCGTAGCTCAGCAATTTGCTAAAGCACGGCTGAAGCTGCATTTACAGTATATGCCATTCTAGATGATTATGAGAAAATGCACATTTACATGGTTATGTATTCCCATCAGTGCAGATTAAAGGAACAAAGATGTTCAGGAGTGCACAGTGATAAATGCAGGTCATGCTAGTCTCCTTCAAAGCTGCCAGGGGCTTCACAATTTGCTGTAGTGAGCGCCTTAGCACAGTTCTGTACAGCTCCTGCATACCCTTGCAAAGGCTGCTCAGTTTTGGCACATTGCTTTCATCCTGCAGTAATATTCCCTGCTGCTTGCTCTACAGACTTGGAGGTTGGGATTGGGGGATGGAGAAGTATTGATTTGTCACAAAGACAACTGTGGTATGTATTAGGAAGGTTGTTTTTTTCTTTCCTGGTTAGCTAGCCTGCTCACAATAAATTAATTATTAACAAGAATGTAACAGTGACCTATGCCAAGTGTACCCAGAGGTTAACGCTGAGACATTTGTGTACGTAACCTGCCCAGCACCAATATCACTGCAAGGCGTCAACAGGAACACTTGGTCCTTGAAGACAAGTGAGCAAGGACATAGCCTCTGCCATTCCCACTGGTGAGATCTCTGCAGCAGACTGCAGCAGGAGAGGCCAAATCACAGCTCAGGAGCCACATGGGCATCTAGAAGTGACTCGGGATCCCCACTATGGAGATAAAACTCCAGCTTGGCGCCGGTGCTCTACACAGTGACCTTAAAATGGAGATCACATGGCCATCTGCCATGGATGCCAAAAGCAGTACCAGGAGAATCCTGCTCCATATATTATAGCTGTAACATTTTTTGGGGCTTTCCAAGCAGCCAGAAATTTGGAAAGAAGTTCTTAACCAAGAAAAAACAGGGTGTTTGGTTGTGGATCAAATGCATTAGTGAAGTCATATGGATTAACATCCCTATTTCAACAATCCATTTCCCCCTGTAAGCTAAGCCTTAACAAGAATGGTCTTTTTTCACCATAGGTAACATGGATCGACATCACTATGAAACCTTTGAAAAGTTTGGAAATGAAACATTTATTATCCACTTAGATAATGGAAGAGGGTAAGTACCTTCAATAATCTTTTGAACAATCTTTGGACAAACTATTTACTTCATAGCAGCCATTATGAGACCATTTTTGCATCCAGTCATTTACGAATTATTAGCAATTACTGGTATAATAAGGCAGTATTAGAAGCCCCAAAGCAGAACCAAATTCTTGCATGCTATTTGCTGCTCAGAAACAGGTTTTTCTTGTCCATACCTCATAGTTTATAAGGAGAGCAGCTTAACAGAGAAGAGTACAAAATAAGTATTTGCTTCCCTATTTCAGAAAAGAAAAACTGAAACCTGCCAGAACTGTGTCATTTGTTCAGAATAAGTGGCTGAACTTGGAGTCCAGATTTTCTCAGTGCCAGTCCAGTTAAGCAGAACATATACAGCCATGAATTTTATGCTTGCATTTCCTGAAATGAAAAGAGCTGTGCAAGCGAGTCCTTAAAGCAGCATTTGTCACATTCTTCTTCTTACCTTTAAATAGGTTTGGAAAATACTCCCACGATGAACTTTCCATATTGGTGCCTTTAAACCAGTGCTGCAGGTAAGTTTCATCTCTGCAGTCATCCTCCATTTTGTACAGATTTTTCAGCTAGTAGCACTGAAATATTCGAGTGTGCCTTCCTCTGCAAACCATGGAGACAGGGGATGCTGTGATCCTGCCTGGTGAGCCTGACCTGAGCTGTCCCTGAGCATTGGCACTGACAGGCTGAAGTGCTTTACTGAATTAAGATCTGCCAGCAGGAGCGTGGCTCTGAACTATTGTGAGAGGCTCTGCTAAAATATGGCTTTATTAAAGCAAAACTGAAATCAAGGGTGAACTCTTCCCTCAGCTGCAGTGTTTCTCAAAGGTGTGTTCCTCAAAGCCCATGGCCAAGAGTTTTGAGGATGAGGGATATCTAGAGCTTCATTTTGCATGGCAGCTCCTTCTCTGCAGGCTCCCAAACATCACCAGTCAGGTGAAAATGGATGCACGGGTTTGGAATATGACGCTGCTTGGTTCTTAGCATTTCAGATCAGACAATATTTGTTTGCTATCACCTCTGTGACTCCAAGCCTTTTACCCTCGTTGAGATCAGCAGCGATGAAATCACTGACACAGATTTTTTGTTCCTTTTTCTCTTAGAATAAGGAAGTCGACCTATCTGCGATTGCAGTTGTTAGCCAAGGAGGAATACAAACTCAGTCTCCTGATGAAGGAATCTTTGCTAAAAGATAAAATCGCTCCCATTCTCTACCAACCTCACTTGGAGGCGATGGACAGGCGGCTGCGGATTGTCCTCAAGGCTGTCAGTGACTGCATAGAGAAGGATGGTTATGACAATGTGGTTGAAAATGACTTTAACACTGATGTTAACACTGTTGCGACCGAGAGGTAGTGAAATCGCAAGACTATGTTTTTATCAGCCGAGTAAAGAAGATTCAAAAAGGAAAAGAAAAAAAAAAAAGTCTTGCAAAAGACTGGTATGCCACTTTGTGAATTCAGTGAATTCAGACACGAGATATAATTGTTCCCAGAGTAGGTATAGTGTAGACTCTGCAAAGGATTGGCTCATTAAGAAAAATAAGTCTAACGTGATGCTTTTCATTAGTTCCCGAGAAGAGATTATGAAGAGGTTGAGAAAACACTCACATCGCCGACAGACTGATAGCAAAACACCTCCTGTCCTTTTTGTATAGCAAGGAGGCCTTTACTTAATATTTTGTATTTATATACGGTATATCTACGAACCCCAGACCTACCTACCAAATCTAACGAAGAGGGACAGCATAGGTTTGTGACTCACACTTTATTTGTGGTGACAGTCCGCTTAGGATGTTGTGTTAACCCTTTAAGTGCTCTAATCCGCTGTATCTTATTTAAATTGAACACTTTATTTCCAGCTGTTCGGCATTTAAAGGGTTAAGGCATTACAAACTTTTAAAGGCAAAAAATAATATTATTAATAATAATAATAATAATAATAATACAGTGATTACCAGAAGGGAATTTCACTAATTGTGCATTGACAGGAATACTTGAATGTTGGTTTTACAAAGTGATGTAAAATGACAAGTTGTACTATTTATCCTTAAGGAGGTGGCAGCTCTTATCTTTCTAGACTATCATAGCTGAGCTGCTCCTTTTCAACTTTGCTTTTGATAGTTTTGTGTAAATATATACATATATGGGTAAAAAGCTGTTTTCAGCAGCTCTAGGCTTACTTTTGCAGCATTTTTGTGGAATTGTTTGCAACGTGGTAAAAGTGCAATAAAGATATGGCAAAATGTGTAGCCAGCACGTGTAGATGAATTCATTTGTCACTGCAAATCTCATACAGAGCACAGCTTTTCCTCAGCCGAATTATCCAGAAGTAGTTGTTTAAACTGTCACCCCCTTTTGTAGCAACAGCAGGTTGGGCTGAAGCAGGGAATTGGCAGCTAATGTATGTTACAACTCTGCTAAGGACCACAGTGGTAAAAGTAGTTAATCTTTCATAGGAAAACATTTTTTTTTACTATCATTTCAGCATCCCTTCCTCTTGCAATTATAGCTGTAAAAGCAGGCTGTGCAGAGCATCTCAAAAAGACACATTCCCAGAGGGTTTATATGCATCAAATCCTCCGGCTCGGGGAGCAGAAGCCCTAGAGCAGGCCTGAAAATCTCAACCTAAATTATCAATAAATGCAATATTTTTGGGCAAATAGCTTTGAGTCATGCACAGCTGAGCTCAGGCAACGTGTGTTGAGACTTTGAGGCCAAAAGCTAGCTGGAAACTGTAGGAGAGACATACCTGACATGTAAAAACATGGCGTGGTACAGGAGGAGTCCCTCACTGCTCCTTTGGGTGGAGGACAGGATTTATGATGACAGTATTCATCGCAGTCATCATTCACAGCTGTCATTTCTTTCATTTTATATCCCTCTTCTCAAGGGTTTGTAAACATACATTTTAAAAGCTTGTAGCCACACAGCCTAGCAGGTAGGCATTGCAGTGTAACCCAGCAGTCTTAACATGATGAGCAGAAAAAGAACAGCTGTACAGTCTTATTCGCTTCTGAAGTTGATACATAATCACTAAAAAACATCTTTGTTACTGTTTTATTCCCCATTTCAGTTCCCATGACCCTCACAAACATGGTATGCAAGGAAGACAGAGCAGCTCAGACACTGCAGCTGTCCATGCACTTGGAAAATTGCTGTGTTACCCTGTGGCGTTTTACACTTCCTGAGATCCAGATGTGCGGATATGCTCTGTAACACAGCACTTGCACTGCCATCCCCTCTCCCTTAGCCAAAAGATGCAAAACATAGGATTGTAAGAAGGAGAGGTGGGTGATGCTTATTTGCTTGCATCCTTCATCCCTGACGGGGTTACAGAGGACTGCCTGTGTGTCCTTAATCTCTTTCTCCTTCAGCAAAATCTCAAATTCTCTCCCTTACTCTGCAGTGCCTGGCTAAGGTTTTCCTGCAGGTGCAGCTTTTCCTCACTGTGAGATTATGAGGCAAGGATAATAAAAGCATCTCCTATGGATGCAGTTCTGCTTTCTGCTCCTGGGGTCAGTGCAAAAAAAAAAATCGGTGATGTACTTTTGGAAAGCAGCGCTTGGCAGCCTCTGAGCTGCCTCTGAGACAGCAGACATTTTCATTCTGGAGAAGCTGAGTTGTAGGTCAGGAGCTCCTGGTAGGAAGGAGCAGGCAGGAGAGCCAGCAGAAGATAGGAACTCAGAGATGTAAACGGACTGCTATGAGACTGAATTTCTATAAACCAAATGAGCAGTGTTTATGTAGAATAATTAACTGAAGGTTGCTCATTTTTACCTTATTGTAGGCAGGCCCACAGCGTCTCCAGTTTCTTTCCTTAACTTCAGCACTTCCCTTTGCAGGCTCTGTGTTACAACTGGTTGTAATCCTGTAAATTTTCTTCTTGCAAGCAGCAATCTTAGAATACATCTGTTCTTACATAGTTCTCTACATATATTTCCTATATACTTAAAGCTAAGAGAGGGGCTCTTCTTTATGATGAGACTTACAAACACCTTAGAAGAAGGTGTTAGCTAAGAAGCTGGGAGACTTTTCCCTTCTCCTGGGCCTCAGATTATAAACCGGGGGTGAGTTAACCACAGCTGAGCAGTGCAAACCCAAATACAGGTCAAGGTGCTTATAGAATAAGCAGCAGCAGCTGAGCTCCTGCCCTTTGTAGGGCAGAGGGAGCTGAGGATTTGGGGCTGACCCAGAGGGTGTTGCTGTGTAGAAGGGGTAATTAACTAAACAGGCCATACAGCTCAGTAAGGTTGGAGGGCCCCTTTGCATGAGGACAGCCCGTAGCAGGGGGGTCTCATGGAGCAGAGCACTCCTGCACGCCGTGCAGCAGCTCAGCACGGTGCTCCCAAAGGGCTGTCACTGTGCATTAGGTCAGTAATCCGGGAGCTAAGGAGGATTAGCACGAGGCAGTGTAACATCTCTTTAGGAGTCCTACATATCTCTCAGACAAAAAGATTTGCTCTAAGGAGATAAATAAATGTCAGAATCCAATTGGTTTGTCTCTGACTCTCAAAAACAGTGTAGCAACAGCATCCAGACAATCACAGATAGAGAAATCTGCAGTCATCTGTCAGGAGCATTCAGCACAGTAAGTATAGTATGCACAGTAAATAACAGATAAAATAGATAATACACTTCTGCAAGCGCCTAATTACAACTGCATCTGGCAGCCTCGAACAGCTTACTGTATTCTCCTGAGTGATTCAGATGAGAGCCTTGTTTTGTTTTGCTGATTTTATGTCATTTAAACATCAAAGGAAATTCACACAAATTAAAAAAAAAATGCTCCCATTGTTTGAATTAGGTATCGTTGTTGTGATCAGCGGGCAGAGCCTACAATGTATATAGAAGCTACAAGCCTGAAGGAGATTGCAGTGTAAGCAATATTGTGAAGCGTTGCACAGGAGGAGGGAATGTGGGAATTCAGCCCGAATGGTGCCTTGGGGCACTGAACTCAAAATGAACTCTTCTGTGGGCACAGAGGGAGGAGTGTCTGAAGGACGCTGTGCTCCCTGCTGTCGGGGCTGCGTGGTGCCCCAGGATCTGCTTGAGAATCATAGAATTGTTAAGGTTGGAAAAGACCCCTAGGATCCCCAAACCCAACCCCTGCCATGCCCCTAACAACATCCCCACGTGTGCCCTTTTCTGGAACACCTCCAGGGACGGTGACTCCACCACCTCCCTGGGCAGACCCTGCCATACCCTGGTGCACACAGCAGCACAGCATCCCCTTCCCATGACCTCCGCCTGCAGCCTTTCCCTGTGCCAAGGCATCTGTGGCCCTGGCTTGAAGTTTGAACCACGCCAGAGCCTTGATGACGTGCATCCTGATAGAGTGAGGTTTTTTCTGGTGCTGAATGGAGAACTGCAAAAATAATTTCCCAGAATGAGTTCAGATATCAGTTGTTCCTGTGGACTATCTGCCAGTGATTGTTTCCTGAAATATCTGTGGCTCAAGAAGGAGTAATGAACACACAGAAGGAAAATTCTTTTTGAGATGTAAATTGAGTGTCTGAGGAAAATGTTGAGTTTTGGGACAGGTTGTCACATGGAAGTTATTACCAGTGAGAAGCTGCTGGATCTTCCTGAGAATACTTTTCACACTGAGCCTGTGTGATTCATCGGTCACTTCCAGCAGGACTCAGACTGTGACCACATCAGACTCAGTTATCTGCTGGCTTCTCCATTTGCATCAGGAAAGTATTCATCCAGTGCTTGTGGGGACTGCCTGGAAAAAAAAATGATAAGCAAATGGCTTTGGTGGGTCCAAAGGCATAAAAAGCCTGAAGAGGCCAGCCCTGGTCATGGTCAACAAATGAATATAAGCAAACAGGGAGGTTATTGATTCAGCACAGCAGTACCCTTTCCTCTAATGCAAGGTCAGAGAAAAGTTTGTCCAGAGGCTGTTCAAGAGATGCTGGAATGCATGCCATCAGCTGCTCCATCTTTTTAGAGATATTAAATACTTTCCAAGGGTTTCTATTTCTGCAGCTTTGATGTAGTTGGCATGAGGAAGGAAGTGGATTTGGAACATGCTGGGGGAATGTCTGCATTTGTATCAGTGCCCTGCATGAAGACTTACGTGCTGGGAGATCAGCTCCACTCATTCAAATGAACTTCACACACGACAGCCCCCGTCCCTTGTCAGAAGCAGCATGTGTCATGCCTTGAATCCTGCTCAGACCTGGGCCTGAACCCAACAGCTTGCAGATGGAATTGGCAGATTGAGCTAAAGCAGAGCATCTCACAATTGGAGGTGTCAGATCAGAGCACTCTCCGCTTCTATGAATGTGGGAATCTGGGTCATGTCATAGCCTTGGCCATTGTAATGAATGACATTAGGTTCCCTACATAAATTCTTCTGCCACCTCTTCTGGAAAGGAGCTCGCTGATTGATAGACATATGTACAAAACCACCTACGTGCGTTAGTTGACCCTGACATAACTTCAAAATACATCCCAGGGTGACTTAAGACAGATCCTACCCAAAAGACAGGCAATTTAAAATCTCATCCCTCCAACTCCTGGTGCTGTACCAATGCCACCGGTGGAGGTGGCACAAACACAGAGCTCTGTGCCCACAGCGCACACTGCAGCACCTGGCTGCCTGCACAGGTGCCATCAATTACACAAGAACTGCAATCCCCATGCATATTGTGAGCCCTCGTGCCCAGCTAAGTGACAAATGAAAGTTAAAGCTGTCAGCAGGATGGAAGCAATGCAGCTGTGTAAGCCCAAGTGGGGGTAAAAATATCTTAAAAAATGACAAAGGCAAGATGATGCACAACCCCTCCTTGCAGCTGCTGAAACGTAGGCCAGGAGCACCACTCACTGTTCTGATCTCAGGCTGAGCTCTGGAAACCAGGGATAAAGACTCTTCTGAGAACTGAGCCAATCCAGAGCTGCAAATGGCTTTCCTTCCAGCATCTCCTCCTTTTTTCCTCCCGTTCCCATTTGTGCTACCTTTTGGAGTAGCACAGGGACTCTTTGCCACAGGCAGCTCTTTATAAATAGTGGAGATAAAAGGCTTTTCCTGTTGGACCACTGAGTGAGGTTCACATCATTTTCCAGATCCAATTAAAATTATTTTTGCTTCTTTTTAAACGACTTCTTCCTAACCAGTGGAGTCAGTGAGACCTTCACAGGTCAGACCCTAGGCCTGGCCCCTCCTGGCTGCCCCACCGGCAGATGAACAATCTCTGACCTCCTCACAGGTTTCTTGGGTACAAGATTATATATATTATTCTTA